GTTTATACATAAAGATGTTGCTATTGTACAATTGTATTTAAAATTTGGTAAACCGATTTTGAATATTAGCATTGTGTGACATTTTAAAACTCTGCCTCCACACCAACATCGTTAGAACTGCTCAGAAAGCCAAGTATAAAATGACTCATTTGGTGAAAGTCAGCTTATTTTTATTTAAGAAAAAAGACCAAATCATATGAACCATAATTCTCCATAACCTACTGAGGTAGAACTAATTTACCTCCCGCTATTAGCATTCTACATATTTTGTTTAATTACTTTGAGACAAGAGTGGATGTTCAAAACATCTGTTTTCAACACTATTAGCATTTTTTTTTATTTGAGGCCATTTATTTAACTTGATAAAAAATAAATATTACAAAATATTAACATGCAAATAAGGCTCAATAGATTTACGTTGATTGAAGAAAAAGCCAATAGATGTTCACATACCAAGTTACTTGTCTTATTACAATACCAAATCATGATAGCTATCATGAATGCTCAACATTGGGACAAGAGACAAAGTGGGTGAAGTAATATCTTTTATCGGACCAACTTCTGTTGGTGCAAGGTACAAACATTCGAGCTTCACAGAACTCTTCTTCAGGTTAGCTCTGTGAAACTCCAAAGCCACTTCCTTCCCCCAGAAAATGAATCTAAAGCAAAACAGATCCACCTTCTATTTATATGTTTTGTTTTCTCGTAGTATATACTAAGGACAGAATACAATACTTTAAACAACAACTTCTAATCCGGCTCTTCTTCTTCTTCTTCTTCTTCAACAATTTCTAATCCGGGAGGATTAAGATGTTAAATTTCTATTTTAGAAATTTGAAAGTTTTTCCCCTAAAAGTTTTCCTTTTCTTCTCACATTTAGCCTGTCATTGTATCATAGAAATTAGAGGTGGAAAAGAGCAATCAAGTCTTCTGTTACATCAGCCTGCCAATGCAGGAGGAGTCTCGGCAGTAAATAAATGATATTTTTCATTATCTGGAAGGCAAAATGTTCTATTTTATTTCAAATATTTTTAAATTAGCATCTGAGCAGAGAAAAATTACAAATTGTTTTTGATGTTGAGAGTCCTGTTTCCCTCCCCTCTCTGCCATTACCAAGTTGTACAATACTTTTCTACTTTAGCAGAAGCTACAGTATTTATAGCTAGAAGATACTCTACCATAAAAATGTGGGTCAAATTTCAGGCTCAAAATACAACAGTCTTTCTTTAACCTTTTACACCTGCATAGTTAGTACAACTGCTGTTTGCATGAATGCATTTTGCATGAGTGTCACATCTGGAAATTCCCCTCGTATCTTACTCATCACAAAAGGAATGCTTTTCAATTTTAAGGCAAATCCATTAATACAGAACTTTATTCTGGTTTTAACTGCGAAAAGGGAATAATTTAAGGGATGCTGAAGATTCACAAAGATCCACTAAGACCAATTAGCACACTTTCCTTCATTTTCTTTTCATACAAAGAATAAAACTACCCATGTTCTTCCTCTATATTCTTAGAATCCACAATCTGATAGCTCTGACTTTCTACAACAGGTTGTCAAATCAGCAAAAATGGTCAAAAATAAGAAAAAAATGAACTGTAAAGTTTTCTGAGGTGACAGTTACCAAACTGGAGAGAAACAAATAACCTTTAAAAGCTTCAATTAATTCTTCACTTGCTCGAAATCTGCACCACACATTCAAGAGACAATAAGTCCTATGTATCTAGGTACATATGCTGTATACAGTTGCATCGCTGGAAAAATTTGAGACTTGTTGAGAAGATGACAAATGATATTTATAGGGTTAAATAAAGCCTTTAGGGTGAAATATTTATCATAATTGCAAAAAATGTCAAGAGTTAATGTACAGAGGAATTTTTTTAAGACACCACTGTTCTTCAAGACTTTGTGGCAGACAGCTGCATAATGAAATAATCCTATTTGAACTAAAGGAAACAATGGTAAAATTTGATCTTTGATGAAATATTGCAAATTAAAATGCCTTTTTAAAGGGTTTAGAAAGCTGTAAGTATGCAACTCCAGTACTAGGATTTCATCTAGTTTGGTCACATTTTCTGTTGACATAACTCTACTGACTTTACTGGTGTTATGCAAGAGCATAGTTTGTGTCTATCGCTGTCAATTTTTCCAAAGAACTCAACACCCCATATGCAATCACACCAAGAATATTCGGTTAGTACCAGAAAGTACCTCCTGTTTTTATCATAACAGTATCCTTACTCTGTCATTTCCTATTAGCTCAGTAAAGTATTTGTGAGTCTACCAGAATTACAAACTAACCAACCACACATTGTTACTCATGTTATGTTCCCACAGTTATGTTCTTTATTAGCACTTTCATGTTCTCATGACACAGCTAAAATCCAGAGCCTCTTAAATAATGTACTACACAAATGGAGGCAGTTCTGCTGACAAGGAACCCTCTGAACATTACAGCTCCCAAAATAAGTTTACAATGCTAACCAAGAGAGAAATAATAGCAATAAACTATAAATCAAAATAATTCAAAACAGCAACAAACTAGAAAAGGGAGAAGTGTTCATATACATGTTCTGAGAAGAAAATTTCCAGATAAGAACAAAATTACCCTATTTTCATATATAGTTTCTGCCTAAGTCAAGAGGTACTACTGGAAACGACATCCAGATACTGAAAGTGTATTTTTCTGTGCTTTAGTTTAGGGCATAGCCATAGGACAGAGATGACTTATGTGGAAAGGAGAGATGAGTTTTATAGGAAATCTAAATCCATGAAGAGTACAACTTTTTCTTGATAAAGCTGAAAAATGGCTTTGAGACAGAGAGGCCAAAAAGCTCCTCAGTCCTCTGAGCAGCAGTAAGACTTGAGAAAGGTTACATTCACTGATACAAAGTGACGTTATCTCATGAGATTCAAAAAGGGGGATTTCATAGGGGTATAGACCAACTAAGTTCAAGTTCCAGCTCATTATAGGTTGTCAGGTGGCAAGTCAAAGTCTGGTGATTGCCTGAGGAAAATCTTGCACTGTGGTAATCGCAGACTAGATTCCCTTGCCAATGTAAGACCTTAAAAGCCCTTAACATTGTGATATGGACCTGGAGAGAGATCAGGTCCAAACCCTTGTGAAGTCACCCAAATTAAATTTTAGATAGTCCCCCTTTCTAGGAGCTGGGGTTTAAACTAGCAAAGAGTTTTTAAATACATGAAGAATACTAGAGACAGATCTTGACTGCACAAGACTGTCCGCCAGTAGAGATGAGTAGCCAAAACCCAAACATTTTAGCCTTCCACAGTGTCTGTTTCACCAATGAAAATATCCCTGGGTCAGAACACAAGATTGGCCCCTGTAACAGAAAGACCTTGTGTGACTGACTGACAATAATCTGTAATATCCCAAATGAAATTTACCAAATTAAGTTAAATCTTATTGAATTGGGTTAGATGCCTTAGGGGTCAATCATATTGAAAATGAAATTGTTTCTGTGTTATTGGAGGACTGCATGTAACTTTTCTAAGGTCTTGACTAATGTAACTGTTAGGAACTTCAAAGTACTTTGGGGGACTATGTGTGTATAGTGGATTTCCTAGGAAGTACCTGGGGGATAAGGGGAATGCAAATGACGCATTTCAAATACATCCTGTAAAAGTTATGCCCTGGGGAAGAAATCCCATTGTCTACTAATTACCTGCTCCTGGAGTTACCCCTGAACTGTGTAAAGGGTGAACTAAATATGTTATGAGTGTGCTAGTTCTAAGCTGAGGCTGTGATGAACTTGTGACCACAAAGGAAATTCCAAAGGACTGCTACTGACGGAGCCCATGCTGGAGTTGGGGTGATGTCTAATTAGCTTGCATGTAGGTTCTTTTATTGTTTTTAATGTTTTCTCAGTAATCCCTTTTACCTTAAGAATAAAGTAGGTTTGCATAGGAAGTGCTGTGTGGTACCAGCTGGTGTCCTTGGGCAACCTGTCTGTGCTGCAAATAACACAATAAAGGCAGGGAACTGCGCAGCCTGGAAATGCCCCAGTCAGACACACGAGCTTCCACCCACGAAAGGCAACGGCGCTGGGGTGCTGGAAGCCTGAGAGCGGGTGCCTTTGCTGGACCACTGAAGGGAAAAACAGGTACAGTGCCAGTTGCCCTGAACTGTGCCACCTTACACGTGGGCAGTATCCATGTAAACAGAGGAATATCTCTACTATATGGTAAACCATGTCCTGCTAGGCTAATATGGAGCTATGGACACTATGAAGATTTGTCATTCTGATCTTTATGGCTGCCTTGAAAGGACAGAGACAAGGCATAAAGGGCCTGATTCTCAATTACAGGAAGGCCCATTTACAACTGCCAGACCAGTGTAAACAAGAATCAGGCCCCAAAAAGAGTTCTCATACTCAAAGGAGAATGCATCCACCTTACATGTCTTGTTTTCCAGGTATCTAAAGCAGACGAAGCTTATTGTTGATGAAAGATGGAAAGAGGCCAATCATCTGGCATTCCCATTTGAAAGGACAAAGTGCAAAACTTGTTGATTCTTTTTACATTCAGAGATATTCACATGAGTTTTCTTGTCATCTTAAGTACTTAGCTTTCCTTAGGTAGAAGGAGCCAAATTCACCAAATGGAGTTACACAATGAATCTGACCAGGAAGTTGGGACTGTCAGCTTATTATCTCCATGCAGTGAAGAATTCGCAGTACTTTTGACCTAAAAGAGGGACTCTGTTCCTCTTCACTTCTTTATGTAAGTGAGGAATGTACAGTTGCCACTTTGTATTAACAGAGAGTTGGATTCAGAAGCATTGTGAACATCCTAAGGGTATTTCCTGTGATTCTGAGTTCCAGTCAGTTACTACTGTGTGCTCTTGTGAGGACCATTAGCTCTGATGTGTGGTGGGTCACATAAGCTCCACAGACCTGATGGGTGTCTATTCTGACTTGTTTTAGTACTGGTTCAGTCATTCATCTTCCACCTGATATTCATGTTGAGAACCCACCACTTTATGAATCATGAATCTCTGGGGACGAGCAGTCCAGGAATTAATTGCATCCTTTTGGTAATCCTAGACAAAAGGAGAATAAGAATAAGAAGGGTCTCAGGTGGATGACAGCTCATCATATACAGCCATTAGAATAGCTTGTTGGAGGATCTGACAAATAGTAATGTTTCTGTGGGAAGGAATAGATATTTGGCCAGAGACTTGATACTGGATACTTCCTTTTGAAAAAAGAAGCCATGTATAGGGCTATGCGGAACCTGGAACATAGGTCAGAAGAGATCTTATCCCTATTCATCACAAATCCACAAGTCTAAAAAACAAGAGGAGGCCTGAAATGTGTTACTTTGATCCATGGCGATTAACTGTTGTTAATCTCCCATGTATATTTTTGTGAAACACCTGACACACTAATTGGTGCTTAAACAATAAGGTTGTCCAAATAATGGAAGACATGAAGTCTCTCTTCTCTCATAGAAACCACCATGGCTGACAATGAGCATGGAGAACATATGTGAGGCTGATGAAAGATGAAATGGCAAGGCAACAGATTGGTAGCAAAGACAATCCATTGAGAAGCAGAGGATTCTGAAATGTACCTGTGAGAGGGCAGGGAACATGAAGATACAAATCCATGAAGTCAACTGAACATAGAAAATATTTCATCCCACAATAAATCTTGTATAGGGAGATTTTCCCACATGGAAGAACCTGGTTCATTTGACATATAAAGGAGACATCATCCCGAAATGGTCAAATACCCTATTCTTCACTGGAACTAGGAAGAACCAAATACAGATCCCTGAAACCTTCGCCTAAATTGGGGATAGCTCTCATACAGCATAGTTTCTGTGTTTGTTCCCAAATACTGTATCTTGTGTTGTTTGAACTATTCTCATAAAAAAGAAGAGAATATTGGTGGGAGCGTTAAGTTTATTAGGTGATCTCATTTTGTGTTTTCAAAGTTGAGAATCCCCTGCGGGATATATGTACTCTTTCAGCCTGTCCCCTCTTAGGCTACGGTCTGAAATACCATGCCCTGCTTCTGTCTGCTGGTGGAGGGACCAGCCCTGATCATTTAATGACTTTTGAGAGCTGAAGAGAGACAATAATATTTTTGGGCTTAGTGGCATGAAAGATTGATTCCTGCTTTTTCACTGAAGTATTTCTCTTCTGGCATGAGCAACTTATCACAGTCCATTGCCTTCTGAACACCAGTATCCAAGGCTCTTCTAGATATCTTTTGCCCATCAAAGGCAGTATGAACCAATTGAGACCTGAAGACGGACTCTATGTGCTAGAAACCAAGCCAATCCATAGATGGCAGAGCATAGAAGAGAGCAAGTTAGGAACCTAACTGATGTTTTAGGTATATAAGAATGAAACGAAAACAATTCTAGATGGTTCAGACTCTCTGATATGGACTGTATGCAGGGTTTATACCCTGAACCAAACAGCAGTGTGGCTGAGCTGATAAGACTTGGGTCTACATATGAGATACCAGGATTCTATTTCCAGCTCTTCCTGAAGTGACTTTTTACCTTTTTTGTAATTAACTTGCCAAAAACTTTATTAACATAGAAAGAAAAGGAGTACTTGTGGCACCTTAGAGACTAACCAATTTTGGAGATCTTCGAGGTGCTGCAGAGCCTGGATGTGCAGCTGGCGGAGCTGTACCATATGCATCCAATGAAGTGAGCTGTAGCTCACAAAAGCTTATGCTCAAATAAATTGGTTAGTCTCTAAGGTGCCACAAGTACTCCTTTTCTTTTTGCGAATACAGACTAACACAGCTGTTACTCTGAAACCTATTACCACAGAGTTAAGGTTGCCCAGTGCTGCCTCAGGACCATCCAGAATGTGGAAAGCTGGCTCCACTTCTCTTCCCCAACCAGTATATCGCTGGATGAAAAGGTGTCCAACCTTCCCCCTCCCTGGCTCCCCTTATCATTCTGCTCTATCAGCGCATCTGAGCTCCCAGAAAGCAAAGGTCCCTCTGATGACAATCCCTTATTCATCAAAGGATCTTAGGAAAAACTGCTTTTGGAAAGTCAGTTGTACCTCAAAGCTCATGTCAATGGACCGGGTTTTCAGAACCAATGTATGAATGGTCATTTACACCCCCGCCCCTGACACTGCTCCAACCACTCCAACATTCCCTCTAGCATTCCCATTACTCTGAGCCCCTCCCATACCCCACTACACTAAGTCCAGTTCTACCCCCCCACACACACACACACAGACCAGCTCCACCCTCCTCCTTCCCACTCCATGCACCTGTTAACCTGGAGGAGAAGGGAAGGTGGTTGGGTTGTGAAGAATGCATGTACCAGTTGGAGGCAGGAAAGGGAAGGAAAGTAGAGATACAGTGTCCCTGTCTGGGCAGAGTGTATGAGGAAGGGACTCTGTGCATTTATCTGAAGTATAGAAGGCTCAGAGAGGTGTGAAGTGCACCATTCAACTCAATAAGATGTTCTCAACTGAATGAGAATACACCACAGAGATGAATACACTCTGGAATGATAACACTGAGATATGTGAACTGCTCCACTCATCTCATCCCCACCCCATCTCTGCAGTTTCAGCACTTGTGCGCGTAATGTGCATAGCACACAAATCACCTAAGCAGAGGATTCAACCTCACTGTCCTTGGGATAGCACTTGTACCCTTAAACTACCAAGGGATTACGCTGATCAGTGTGTGTCACTCACAAAAGTTTCAGAGGAAACAACAGCTTGCACAGATGTTTTAAGCAGAGGTAGTAAATGTTTTGTAGTGCAATAATATTTGAAATATTTCTAAACTGGTCTTTAGTCCCATTTAATAGCTGATCTCAGGGACAGTCCATGCTATAAACTAAATGAAGGTGGCCTTAGGATTTTCCCTTAGTCTACACTAAAAAAAAGTGATAAGAATCTTAAAGTGTTATCAGCAGTTCATTTTAGGGGGGCTGACTCAACAACTCACTTTTCTTTAATCGTATTCAGTCCCACTGTTAAGGAAATGGTTGAGGAGCACAAGTCATGATTACATTACCCTAACTGCTTCCTAGAGTCTCATCTTCCCTCTATTTAATTAATGCTAATTTTCTTGACAATATTTCTCAAGTAAAATCAGAATGTGTGTGTGGATCTTAGAACACTTTGAAATATCAGCTGTTAAAGCAGATTTTGGGCAGGGAGCAAGGAACATGAACAATATACATTCTCTACCAAGGGAAGGATGTGAACTCAGAGTACATGGGTGTTGCTTAGGTTCAATGGGCACTGCATGTCACCTTGAGCCACGCTGTTACTCTGACATTGGGCTGCCTGCAAAGCTTCCGACTTGCAACAGAGCCCTAGTCTTGATGCACACGTACATTTCCCTTTCTGTGGCATTTCAGTTTAGCTTGAACCAATCTGCAGTTACAATTTAACCCTCAATATCTTACTCAATATTGCTTCTTCAAAAGGGCAGTGGGTGCCATGAACTCACTGAAACCAATCTTGAGCATGTGATATCAGGTTGCAGAAGATGAATACAATAATTTGAGCCACAGGAGTACACAAACCAGATGATTTTGTAAACACATGATTTATTTCAGGGGCCTATGTCTCAGGAACCACCCCCTTGTTTAAATTACTCAAAATAAATCTAATAAATCTTGGTATCTAATAATACAACACACACATACACTTTATAGATAGATAAATTACACATAAAAACACTACTTTAAAAGATAAAAAAACATTATTAAAGTGCAAACTCAAAGAGTAGGAAATGTCAGAATTAGGATTCACTGTGCAACCTTAACTCACCCTCCTTGCATTATGATACCATCATTAATTACACGATCACATACTATTTTTATCCATTCAGTGTACAGGATGGATGGTGCTTGATATTTTTGTTTTCTCCTCATTATTCAGTGTGGCCCCATGCTTTATTTACAATATACAATTCTAACCCTGCTTTCAAGATAGACATATTAAACTTCCTCATGAGTTTTCCTATTGGGCTCATCACGATAGTATCTGAGTGCTTCACAAACATTAATCAATCTATTTTCACAACACTTCTGTGAGGTGAGGCCATGATATTTATTCCCATTTTACAGATGAGGAGCTGAGGGACAGAGAAATTAAGATCAAAAGTTTTTGCTAATTTTGTGTGCCTAATTTGATATGCCTAGGACCTGATTTTTCAGAGTCATCATTTTCTTTGATTCCCATCCATCAGTTCAGCAGCTATGATGGGACTGAATGAAGTCTTTCCACCATAGAATCATAGAATATAAGGGTTGGAAGGGACCCCAGAAGGTCATCTAGTCCAACCCCCTGCTCGAAGCAGGACCAAATCCCAGTTAAATCATCCCAGCCAGGGCTTTGTCAAGCCTGACCTTAAAAACCTCTAAGGAAGGAGATTCTACCACCTCCCTAGGTAACGCATTCCAGTGTTTCACCACCCTCTTAGTGAAAAAGTTTTTCCTAATATCCAATCTAAACCTCCCCCACTGCAACTTGAGACCATTACTCCTCGTTCTGTCATCTGCTACCATCGAGAACAGTCTAGAGCCATCCTCTTTGGAACCCCCTTTCAGGTAGTTGAAAGCCACTTTCTATCTTCAGCAGCTTCCTTTATCTTTAAATCTTTTTGCTTTATCTCCATTCTTCACCATGTCTATTGATGCATACTTGGTCTTCCTCTATTTTTAGTTCCTTGCACTCTGGTATTTATTGCCATGTATGGTATCCTTTTCAAGTCCATTCCTGACACATGTCCAAATCATCATAGTTGTCTTTCTTGAATTTTCTCTAACAGTGTTGTTTGTTGCCCTACCCATTTTCTTATCAACTTCATTTTTTATTTTCTGCAGTCTTGGAACTCTTAATATTGGCCTTAGCAAATATCTTTCATTCACGGACTTTCCTCACTCCAGTATTCTGACCCATACGGCAGTATTGACACAACAGTTGTCTCATATATGTTGATTTTCATTTTAATCAAAATGTCTTTAGACTTCCAGATCTTGCAGGGTTTTTTTGAATGCCATAGTGGCTAGTCTGATTCTTCTTTTTATGTCATTTTCACGATTCCCATTCTTCAGTACTAGTCCTCCAAAGTACACAAATTCTCCCACTTGTTCTAGTTCTTTGAAGTTGAAGTTCTTTGTCTTCAACTTTAATCTTTACCTCTTCCTTTTGTCTTCCAATTGCCATAAATTTTGTCTTCTCCATGCTGATCTTCAGTCTGAATTTTCTGATTTCTTGGTCTATCTTGTCAGTTGTTCTCTGTAAATCCTCCTTAGTCAATGCTATGAGGCCAGTATCATTTGCAAATCTAAAGTTATTTACTGTCCTCCCACATAACATGACTCCTCCCATTTTATCTCGGAGTGTTACCGCCATTACTGCTTCCAGTACCAAGTTGAACAAAGCTGGCAATAGTGTGAATCCTTGCATCACTCCTATGGTCATCCTGAACCATTCCATCAGCTTCTTGTCTATTCTCACTGCTCTCATCAACTTGCCATAGATATTCTCTATCAGCTTGATCAATTTCTTGGGGTGCCAAACATTCTCAAAACTTGCCAAAGCCCTTTCTGCCAAATGCTATCAAAAGCCTTTATGAAGTTTATAAAGTTGTTATAGGTTTGGTTGTGTTTGATGTACTTCTGATACCTATCTTATCACAAATACTGATCTACTGTAACAGATCCTGGTCTAAATGTAGCCTGCTCCTCTGCAAGCACCAATTTCACACACTTCATTCTCTGCAATGTGTTGATAAATGATTTTCTGGGCACACTCAATAAGCTGATTCCTCTGTATAAAAAAAGTCATCTAATATATAAACAGTACTATTATCACTTTTCCCCATTCACTAATTTAATAGCTTTTCTCCTCAATTATTTTTGCACCAGGATCGAACGAAAGAGGATTTTTCAGAGTACTTAGCATAATACAGTACTTTATATGTTTAAAGCACCGCTCCCGTTGACTTCAGTTGTAGCAGTAAGTGATCAGCACTTCTGCAAATCAGATCCCAGCGTGATCATGTAATTAAAGATCATCATAATGTATATACACAATGGGGCTGAATTTAAGGTTGCACAGGCAGTATTAATTCTGGCATTTCCTAACTTTTCAAGACTTGACTATTCAATCTTAATCTTGTTTTTTCAGTTTACTTTGTGTGGGTGTCTTTAATTTCCTAGGTTTTAAAAAAAGCTGACTGGAAATAAAGAAGTCTCACCATGTGTCACCAACTACATCTTGGTCATCAGCAAGGTTAGAACCTTTATATTAATCACACAAACCTCTGCTACTTGAGCTAACTCAGTAACTAATAGCAATAGTATGTTTTCCTCCTCTATTTGGAGCAGCTCTAGAGGGAAGATGAGACACTCACTTTGCCAGTGGGTTTCACAGCTACTTGCTGACAGCAAAGGAATGGTGAGACTCGGGAATCTTGGTTCTATTCCAAGCTCTGTAGGGGTGTGAGTCCTAGTGGGCTAGGCTCCCTATTCTCAGTTACAGCCCCACCCTGTCCTGAAGCAACTAGAAGCAGCCATTACTGGGAAAAGTCTGGCTTTGCCCCTGTAGCATGTAGACTCACAGACTTCAAGGCCAGAAGGGACCATCATGATCATCTAGTCTGACTGCCTGCATGCTGCAGGCAACAGAGTCCTGTAAAAGACCCATAATCTCTGGCTGAGTTACTGAAGTCCTCAAATCATAATTTAAAGACTTCAAGTTATAAGAGAATTTATCATTTACTCTAGTTTAAACTTGCAAGTGTCCTGTACCCCATGCTGCATAGGAAGGCAAAAAGCTCCCAGGGTCTCTGCCAATGTTCCCTCTAATTTTTTCCATCTATGTATGGAATGAATTTTGTTATGTGCACCAATATTAAGGTAATGTGAGGATGTGCGCCACCAGTAGACAAAAAACCCTAGATATAATATATATTTTTGAAAAGTTACCATAGGGATAATTACTCCAGGCAGGACAGGTTAGGCATTTTAGAACTCACTACTCAAAGAATTAAATTTAAGTGTAAGAGAGAAATAAAAATTATGAAATGCATAGACCAGTCAAAAAACTAAAACAGCAGCACTTTGAAAGAATAAAATTACAGAGAATATACGTGCATTGCAGGAAGTATCACGAAGTAACAACAACAATAACACAAGTATGTGCTGGGAGGTAAGTGTGTGAGAGACAGAGAGAGAATGTGCGTGTGTGCACACACACACAAACAAACACACACAGACAGTGTGTGAATTAGAGACAGAGTGTGTGTGTGCTGGCCGCTGGGGAAGTATATGAGAGACAGTGCGCTGTCTCTTGAAGCGCAGCCACACTCACCAGTCTGAAGGCTCGTTCGGACTGCAGCAGACACAAGTTGCCGGATGTGCGCAGCTATACCAATCAAATGCATGGCACTCAATTTACTTTTGTGCAGCCACGCAGGCATGCAGCTTAGAGGGAACACTGTTCTCTGCCAATCTGACCCAGGAGAAAATCAGTTAGACTCTAAGCATGTGGGCAAGTCCTACCAGCCAGACACCTGGGAAAGAATTCTCTGTAGTAACTCAGAACCCTCCCCTTCTTGTGTCCCATCACTGGCCATTGAAGATATTTGCTGCTACCAGTCGCACATCAGCTATATACCATTGTATGCAGTCTCATCATAATGTCCCTCCACAAACTTATCAAGCCTAGTCTTGAAGCCAGTTAGGATTTTTTGTCCCCACTGCTCCCCTTGGAAGGCCGTTCCGCAACTCCACTCCCCTAATGGTTAGAAACCTTTGTCTAATTTCAAGCTTAAATTTGTTGATGACCAGTTTATATCCATTTGTTCTTGTGTCCACGTTGGTGCTTAACTTAAATAACTCCTCTACCTCCCTGGTATTTATCCCTCTGATGTATTTATGGAGAGCAATCATATCTCCCTCTCAGCCTTCTTTTGGTTAAGCTAAATAAGCCAAACTCTTTGATTCCCCTCTCATAAAGTAGGTTTTCCATTCCTTTGATCATCCTAGTAATCCTTCTCTGCAACTGTTCCAGTTTAAATTCATTTTTGTTAAACATGGGAGCCCAGAACTACACACACTATTCCAGATGAGGTCTCACCAGTGCCTTGTATAATGGTACTAACACTTCCCTGTCTCTATTGGAAATACCTTGCCTGATGCATTCTAGGACTGTATTAGTCTTTTTCACAGCCACATCACATTAGCAGCTCATAGTAATCCTGTGACCAACCAATATACCCAGGTCTTTCTCCTCCTCTGTTGCTTCCAACTGGTAAGTCCCCAGCTTATAGCAAAACGTCTTGTTGATAGTCCCTTTGCACTACTAAATTTCATCTCATTTCTGTTACTCCAGTTTTCAAGGTCCTCCAGAACTTCTCATATGATATTCCAATCCTCCTCCGTATTGGCAATGCCTCCCAACTTTGTGTCATCTGCAAATTTTATTAGTACACTCCCATTTTTTGTGCCAAGGTCATTAATGAAACTGTTAAATAAAATTGGTCCCAAGACCAATTCCTGAGGAACTGCACTAGTTACCTCCTTCCAGCCTGGCAGCCTTTCAGTATGACCTGTCTCCCCTTTAACCAATTCCTTATCCACCTTTCAACCCTTATATTAATTCCCACCTTCTCCAATTTAATTGTATCAGATGCCTGATGGAAATCCAGGTAGACTAGATCTACTGCATTTCCTTTGTCTAAAAAGGCAGGTATCTTATCAAAGAAGGAGATCAATATATCTTTTATAAAACCATGTTATATTTTATCCCAATTACCATTTACCTCTATGTCATTAACTACTTTCTCTTCCAACATTTGTTCTAAGACCTTGCATACAACTGAGGTGAAACTAACAGGCTTGTCATCTCCTGGATCACTTATTTTCCCTTTCTTAAAAATAGGATCTTTATTAGTAATTCTCCAATCATAGGGTATAACCCCCGAGTTTACAGATTCATTAAAAATCATGGCTAATGGGCTTGCAATTTCATGTGCCAGTTCCTTTAATATTCTTGGATGGAGATTATCCAGGCCCCCTGATTTAATCCTATTAAACTGTTGGAGTTTGACTTCCAACTTGGATGTCGTAATTTCTACTTCCATATCCTTGTTCTCATTAGCCACCCTGCCACAACCCCTAAACTTGTCATTACCCTTATTAAAAACTGAGGCAAAGTATTTGTTGTGGTGTTGGGCCATGCCTAGATTATCTTTAATCTCCACCCCATCCTCAGTGCTTAGTGATCCCACTTTTTCTTTCCGTGTTTTCTTTTTATTTATATGGCTATCAAATCTTTTAAAATTGGTTTTAATTTTCTTTGCAAGGTCTAACTCTGTTTGGCTTATGGCAGTTCTCACTTTATCCCCACATTCCAAGAGGCAGCTCTCCTTGCTGATCTGTCCCATCCTCCATTCCTCGTAGGCTTTCTGCTTTCTCTTAATCACTGTTTGAAATGTTTGCTCATCCAACTTGGTCTGCAATCCTTCCCTACAGTCACAGTCCAATCACAAGTAGGAGCAGAGAACATATGGAGCATGCTCAGTCACTCTGTAGGGGTGGTGTAAGTGCAGTGTGGTCAACACTAGGAATTGTGAGAGGTTTGAGCAAGCTCAATGAGGATGGAATCTTCGGAGATTTTAGCTGGTAAAATGAAAGAAGTCTCTACCGAGCATGCACAAACTACAATTTTTCAAAGGCTTACAACTCAAGACAGATTTGGGACAGAATCCACGTCTTCATTACAGACACATCCCTGACAGAAAGGCATGGGGGCACTGGAGCTGTTCAAAGAAAAGCTCACTAGAATTTAACATGGCCAAAACAACATGTTTTTCCCTAGTCTCATTCTTGAAATGACTGAATATCAACCAGCCACTGCTATACTAACTTTGGTTTTCTGCGTCTAGGATGCCATCATCCTCAACACCACCCTGTGGGAGCTCTCTGAAAGAAAAGAACACAGGTAATCAACACCTCCTTCACCTACTCCCACTAAGATCCACTGGTAAGGCAATAATATATCATGATCAACAGCACCACAGACAACTGATAGACCTAAAAATATGTGTATGAATACCTCATCTTCACGCACGGCTAAGAGGGGATCAAACATCAGGATAGCCCAGTGCTGTACCTATGACAAACAAAGGTCTGAACTCAAACTGAGAATAAACTAGGAGATCTGAAACACCTAATTAAGCTATTGTGAGATGTCTCATCACAACTTCCTCAATAATCTTAACCAATAATGGAAAATTTGAAACAGGACAAAAAGCATCCAGACTGTCAAATTCAAGTGGTTGTTTCTTATCCAGAGGTTGCACCAATGTTTCCTTAAGGACAGTTGGCACCCTGCTCTCCCTGCTACAAGCATTGACAATTTCCATTAGCAACAGACCTAGTATTTCCCCAACAGCCAGAAAGAACATTACTCCAAAGCTGAAGTAAAAAATTCTCAAAATACTTCCAGCAACATTGGCTAAAGCCCTAGCAGAGAAGTTTTGTTTTCTCAAGATATTGTTCTTCTAGGCAAATAGGACAAAGGCAAATAGCTTGGTTCAAATCAGGGCGCTTTTATCTAGAAAACAAAAATAAATGCCGTTCACAGTAGAAGGGACTCAAATCAAACATCATTATTATCCTTTTATTCTTTTCAACCACCCTGAATCCTGAGTAGGGCCAAGTGTCCTTCCAAGTGGAAGAGGGTGTTAAAATAAAATAGTAATCTCTGTCCTCTGAAGATAAAAAAAAAATCTGAATGAGATAGAGTGATACATACACCACACTTTCACAGTCAGTATCTTCATATAACTGATTAAAAAGCAGTACAAAAGTTGAATTAGTGTCCTAAAGGAACAGATTTAGGAATAGATTGATTTAGTTAGGGTTGGTCCTGCTTTGAGCAGGGCGTTGGATTAGATGACCTCCTGAGGTCTCTTCCAACCCTAATCTTCTATGATGCTAAGACAGTATACAGTGTTGGATCATCAAATTAAATTACCATTTCCGCTATACTAATAGTTACAAATTAATGTTTTTGCACATGCCCCTACACAAATGACATCAGCCTTCAAAGACATTAATCCTATTTACATAACCGTTAAGGCAGGCATCCATTAAAAAAAAAAAAAAGCCTACATAACTCATTTCTTTAAAGACATCACAAAATCTTTTTACTAATTTTCAGTAGGAATTATGGTTTGAAACTATGTTAATAACACTTAATAAAAAATGCAAAGTTAAACCTAAAATGCATAACCAACAATGCAAAATCACAAGCACCAAGACCACTGGTTAGCAGTTGGGTTATCGTCAGTATTGTACAAGACATAAATTCATACCTGCACCTGGAATGATTGCCAGCTTTGTTTCAACTAGACCCATTTTAGCAGAAGATGCTTGAAAAGAAGCATAAAATGTAATGAGTTCTTGATATAATCTATAGTAAATAATAATTTGAAAAAGTTTATACAAAAGAAGATTCTTTACAACAATCAGTTAATTTATTAAACTTGTCTTCCAAACAACAAACCATCACTTAAAAAAGCATTTGCCTATGGAAATACAGAAAGACACCAAATTGATTTGCATTTATTAAAAGAACTAAGAAGCTATTCCCATCAAGACAGGCTCTGTACCTCATTAATTTTCACACAGGAAGATTGCTGATGCAAGTAAATTATTTAGATCCAATAATGCAGAGAATTATTTGTAGATTTTAAAGCACTAAAAGAAAGTGGCAATGTTATTATTTAACAACTTGAAATGGTGGGGAAGTCTGTTTCTGACGATTATGAATTCTTTAGCTGACTGACTACTCCCTCAGGGTCAAACAGCTTAATATACTATGAGTATGCTGGCAACTGCTCAAGAGCAAGTTTCCATTTACTTTCCAACAAATGGTTTTGCAGTTCTGACAGCTGGATAGATCAAGGTTCCTCTTTTCATGTGCTGTTGTCACTTTTATTTTATAAGAGCTTAATTGCTTGTTTAATAATACACTCACAAACTAGTTTGGCCTATTTCCTGCAACCTATTTGTATAGTAACAAATTTTGACGACAAGAGCATTTTAATTATAAAAAAAATTCTCAACCTCTGCCCTAGCCTTCTGGGATCACTGCTAATGATATAGTGAAGACTGCTAACAATAAAATGAAGATCATAAGAATAAATTAAAACAGGCAACAAAAATGCTCTAGCTATCAACAGTAAGTGGTATGAAATTAAACATCAGCAATGATTTCAGTCAAGTTTCTGCTAAATCACATAGAAATAATTGAGCATATGCAATGTCAGAATATAAAACCAGTTTTATAAGGACTGTTGCCAAGGCAAGGATTAGTCAAGCCTTCTGTAATGCTAATAATCTCCTGTTCATTTAATAGGATTCAGTCTTACCTGCCACTCTTATGTCACAGGCTAATGCCAGTTCTAGGCCACCACCTAATGCAGTCCCATCTATCGCAGCAATTGTTGGTACTGGAAGATTAGCTGCAAGAGAAAGTATCACTTAATACCTGCTCACAATGAACATTTGTGAGTCATTCCTGTATTATCTCTTGTTCAAATTACAATCAGATGAGGAAAAACAGTAACATATCTTCTTCAATGACGATGCTGATCTTAAAACCAATTGTCCAGAATGATTGTTCAGTGAACATATGACACTCAATCTTTCTGCAACTAAATTGTGTTGCAAACTTTCCCTTCAGCAGCTGCTCAGTTCTGCTCTTAATTTATATTGTAAACTCCGAAAGCACAGTCCCTGGCATTACAGAAATAACAAAACATTTAAAATTGTTGTATCTGTAGATTTCAGAGTAGCAGCCGTGTTATTCTGTATTCGCAAAAAGAAAAGGAGGACGTGTGGCACCTTAGAGACTAACAAATTTATTTGAGCATAAGCTTTTGTGAGCTACAGCTCACTTCATTGGATGCATTCAGTGGAAAATACAGTGGGGAGATTTATATACATAGAGAACATGAAACAATGGGTGTTACCATACACACTGTAACCAGAGTGATCACTTAAGGTGAGCATTACCAGCAGGAGAGCGGGTGGGGAGGAGGAAGAGAAGAACTTTTGAAGTGATAATCAAGGTAGGCCATTTCAAGCAGTTGACAAGAATGTCCGAGGAACAGTGGGGGGTGGCGGTGGGGGGCATAAACATGGGGAAATAGTTTTACTTTGTGTAATGACCCATCCACTCCCAGTCTCTATTCAAGCCTAAGTTAATTGTATCCAGTTTGCAAATTAATTCCAATTCAGCAGTTTCTCGTTGGAGTCTGTTTTTGAAGTTTTTTTGTTGAGGTATTGCCACTTTTAGGTCTGTAATCGAGTGACCAGAGAGATTGAAGTCTACAGCCAAGCTCTACCACACAACAGCATTTGCTCCAACCCCTCAGACAGAGACAAACACCTACAAGATCTCTATTAAGCATTCTTACAACTACAGTACCCACCTGCGGAAGTGAAGAAACAGATTGACAGAGCCAGAAGAGTACCCAGAAGTCACCTACTACAGGACAGGCCCAACAAAGAAAATAACAGAACGCCACTAGCCATCACCTTCAGCCCCCAACTAAAACCTCTCCAATGCACCATCAAGGATCTACAACCTATCCTGAAGGACGACCCATCACTCTCACAGATCTTGGGAGACAGGCCAGTCCTTGCTTACAGACAGCTCCCCAACCTGAAGCAAATACTCACCGGCAACCACACACCACACAACAGAACTACTAACCCAGGAACCTATCCTTGCAACAAAGCCCGTTGCCAACTGTGTCCACGTATCTATTCAGGGGACACCATCATAGGGCCTAATCACATCAGCCACAATATCAGAGGCTCGTTCA